ATGCTTCACAGTAGGGATGGTGTTCTTGGGATGCAACTCCTTCTTTTTCCTCCAAACACGAGGAGTGAAGTTTAGACCAAAAAGTTCTACTTTGGTCTCATCTGACCACATGACTTTCTCCCATGCCTCCTCTGGATCATCCAGATGGTCATTGGCAAACTTCAGACGGGCCTGGACATGTGATGACTTGAGCAGGAGAACCTTCCGTGCAATGCATGATTGGAAACCATGACGGCGTAGTGTTCTACCGACAGTGACCTTTGAAACTGTGGTCCCAGCTCTCTTCATGTCATTGACCAGCTCCTCCCTTGTAGTTCTGGGCTGATTCCTCACCTTTCTTATCATCAGTGATACCCCACGAGGTGAGATCTTGCAAGGAGCCTCAGTCCGAGGGAGACTGACAGTCGTCTTTAGCCTCTTCCATTTTCTAACAATTGCTCCAACAGTTGATCTATTTTCACCAAGCTGCTTGGCAATTGCCCCGTAGGCCTTTCCAGCCTTGTGGAAGTCCACAATTGTGTCTCTGGTGTCTTTTGACAGCTCTTTGGTCTTGCCCATGGTAGTAGTTGGCGTCTGACTGACTGTGGGGTGGACAGGTGTCTTTAAAGAGCTCAGACAGGTGCTACTAAGTTAGATTAATGAGTGGAGTAGAGGTGGACTTTTTAAAGGCACAGTAACAGGTCTTTGAGAGCCAGAATTCTTGCTGTTTCTTAGGTGTTCAAATACTTCTGTTCAGCAGTGCGAGACAAATACATTCTTTAAAAATCACACAATGTGATTTCCTGAATTTTTTTTAAATTCTGTCTCACAGAGTGGGAATGCACCTACAATGTGAATTTCAGACCCCTCCATGATTTCTAAGTGGGAGAACTTGCAAAATCGCAGGGTGTTCAAATACTTCTGTTCCTCACTGTATATATATATATATATATATATATATATATATATACGTGATCTTTGGGGGTTCTAAGCTGTTTTCTAGCAAAACAAATGCTGATTTTTACATGTAGAAGAGGAATGTCTTGGCCCGGAATGAAAATAGTTAAGGCCCAACATAAAACGAATGCTGAAAAATACAGAACTGGAAAACAAAAAGCCAGCTTGTTGGTTGACGGGTTAATTTGGACTGGAATTCAAATCTCAAAAGAAAAACAAAAAAAAAAATCTAATTTGAAGACAACAATGGAGAAAATGAAGCACACGACGTTCCCAACAATATCCAATTTTCAAAATGAAAACTTCATTACGGGAACAATCTTCCCATAACATCCACTTTATTGAAAAACCTCTAAAACCCCAAGAAAGGCCACCGAGGTGGATTCATAGAAATCTCCACATTCTGTTGTATCCACTTTCGTTTTTTTTTTTTTTTTTTTTTTTTTTATATCATAAAGATAATTGTCATTTAAATGTAAAGGTTATCCATTGCTAAAACATGTAATAAAAGTACGTTTAGGCCGATCTTGTAACAATGGAAGCATTATGTAAGGCAGGGGTGTCCAAACTACGGCCCTCCAGCTGTTGAAGTACTACAATTCCCATCATGCCTCTGCTTCTGGGTGTCAGAGTCTTGCAAGGCCTCATGGGACTTGCAGTTCCTCAACACCTGGAGGGCCATAGTTTGGACACCCCTGATGTAAGGGGTTCAGTCTTTTGGGTTCTTTATTGAATTAAAATAAAATACAAAAGGCAGCAGCTCTGTGCACATACCAAGAGCTGCTGACTTAGGGCCCATTCACACCTAACCAGTTGGACTGCACTCCAATAGACCGTCAAAAATCCAGGCTATCCTGAAGGGGCATATTTCACATCATTGCAGTGCAGAGCAGTGCTGAAAAGTACAGCATGCTGCATTTTTCTGCACAAAAACACATGCAAACGCACTGCAACGCATCACTGCGCACATAGAAGCCCAAGGTAAGATGAAGGAAGTGACATCACAGGTCAAATGCAGATAGAAAAGAGCACATCAACTACATGCAAATGCACGTGAGCTGCACGTAAAAGGTGCCTCAACTGCATGCATGGGTACAAGGAAAAAACACGCAGTGGCATGGAGTTTCTGGTGTGAATGGGCCCTAAGGCCCCATGTACATGGGACGTTTCTGAACAATGGAAACTGCTGGAAAACGAAGGTAAAAAAAGTCTGTTTAGCCGCGTTTGCATAATGCGTTAATGCGCGTTTGCGTTTAGAAGCGTTTTTTAAAGAAAAGCACAGGAGAACCTCCCAAATGCCCAGAATGCACTGAAAAGTGGTTAATTATTAACTATTTCAGACTATTTCAGAGAAATACAGAGAGTAGAAGCAGAGACAGCAGTATGTGTTGAGATTAGCTTAGGTGTGAGTTGCTCATTAACATTTCTTTTGTTTCCAAGGGTGGGAAAGGTGTCTGGTGGAGGGAGTCATTATGGCCACCTGGCAGGGGCTCTTCATGAAGAATTTGAGATGTGAATGATCATTAACATATCTTTTGTTTCCAAGGGTGGGAGAGGTCTGAGGTGTGAATGATCATTAACATATCTTTTGTTTCCAAGGGTGGGAGAGGTCTGAGGTGTGAATGGCCATTAACATATCTATTGTTTCCAAGGGTGGGAGAGGTCTGAGGTGTGAATGGTCATTAACATATCTTTTGTTTCCAAGGGTGGGAGAGGTCTGAGGTGTGAATTGGTCATTACAACATGTGACAAGCTTGGTAGGAACATCCTGTGTTCAGTGTTTTGTCCATCTGAGTACCTTGAAAACTCTTTGCATGCATTTTTCATGATAAAAAAAGGCTCTGGACAGCATTGGGAACTGGAAGAGTTAAAAAAAAATTTCAAACACAAACATTTATAAACTCGATTTACCGTGTTTAGACGGGTTTACAAGCGTTTTGCGTTTGAAACTCTGAACGCAAGTTTGTTGCGTTCAAAAAAACGACTGTAAACTCAACTGCCTGTAAACGACAATGTGTACATGGACACATAGGAGAACATTAGGGAGAGTTCAGGGGCTGCAGATAAAACGCTCAACTGCTCCTAAACGTAAGTTTATCAGCTGCAGTGTGCATGGGCCCTAGGCTCAGTTCACACTGCTGCGACCCCAAAGTCGTGGAACTTCCAGTGTGACTTTGCATTGCGACTTTAATGAGACTTTGGTTTACAAAACCCCTCTGAAGTTGCAGCCAGAGTTGCAAAGATAAGACAGATACGGCTACCAGGAGACGTTTGTGATTTTGAACATTGCAGTCTATGGCACTCATGTCGCACCAAAGGTGCAGAAAAGCAGTGCAGGAACTATTTTTTTGTCGTTGCGAGTCGCAGCAATTAAGACAGCACCCATGGAAACGAATGTTTAACTTCCATGTTTAACTTCACATTCCTTCTGTACTGAAAGTATTGTAATTGTATTTTCTTCCTTATATTGTAAAGCGCTGCGCAGACTGTTGGCGCCATAAATCCTGTATAATAATAATAATGTCTCAGGTCGCAGCAAGTCGCACCAGAAGTGAGAACCAGCGCTTATTGAAAAAGGTTTAAAATGAAGGAGAATCCCAGCAACCTTTTGTGTTGATGAGGAAAATGGAAAGATCGTTCCGGGCCCGTAGGGATATCTCACTGGTTTTGGTATCAAAGTATTGATGTTGATGTAAATGATCTGGTTCCCTGGCAGGCGGCGTCTACACCCCGGAGGATTCCCACCTTCTCCCTGGTGTGTAGTGTGATGTAACAAAAATAGAAATCAAAGCATCACACCACTGCAAAGAGGTCCAGATACAACTCTATTCCAGTAAAAGTCTGGGGTACAGATTATCCAACGCGTTTTGGGGGATCCAAGAGCCAAATACATTCAATTTGATGCTTCCAATACTATTTGGATTTAAATTCGACCCCCTGGGAGGATATTGTATTGACATCAGATTGATATGGAGATCTTCGTATGTACTTTCTAGCTCTGATGAAGGAGAAGTGCTTGAATGCCCGAATCACGTTTTTTTTTTTTTTATTGTCCCCATGGCTTTTATCGGAAGAAGATTGTATCTGGACCTCTAAGCAGTGGTGTGGTGCTTCAATTTAAAGTGTTACCCACAACCCACAACAGTACAATCAGTCTGTAGATGCAGTAAAACATTCTTATTATACTCACTGTGGAACCCAAGTGGTTAATCCTCTGCATGGTGTAAAAAGGCTGTTTGATCCTGTCTTCTCTGATCCTCCCCTTTTTCAGGTGTCCCCTCTTATCTCCTGATAAGACATATGTGTGGAGTCATTCTGCACACAGTTTGGTGTCCATTGCTAGAGGTTTTTTTTTTTTTTTTTGCATGGGAGAGTGCATGTGATCAGCACAGTCCAAACAGAGGTCAGGGGTTATGCATCCTCCTAGAGCAAAATGAAAACTGCTCCTACAAGCTTTAACCAGTGCTTAGTCGGACACTGATAGAAGCCACAAGACTGCTCTAACTGCTGACGAGAAAAGGTATTTATCAGTTTATATTTACTAAAATGATTGCATTTCCATGTTCTGTGTACTGTGGGAGACCAGATATAGTGAATGCAGGGTCCAGGGAGAGTGGATATAGTGAATGCAGGGTCCAGGGAGTACAGATATAGTGAATGCGGGGTCCGGGGAGAGCGGATATAGTGAATGCGGGGTCCGGGGAGAGCGGATATAGTGAATGCAGGGTTCGGGGAGAGTGGATATAGTGAATGCAGGGTCCGGGGAGAGCGGATCTAGTGAATGCGGGGTCCGGGGAGAGCGGATATAGTGAATGCGGGGTCCGGGGAGACCAGATAAAGTAAATGCTGGGCCTGGGGAGAGTGGATTTAGTGAACGCAGGGTCCAGGGAGAGCGGACATAGTGAATGTGGGGTCCGGGGAGAGCGGATATAGTGAATGCGGGGTCCGGGGAGAGCGGATATAGTGAATGCGGGGTCCGGGGAGAGCGGATATAGTGAATGCGGGGTCCGGGGAGAGCGGATATAGTGAATGCGGGGTCCGGGGAGAGCGGATATAGTGAATGCTGGGCCTGGGGAGAGTGGATATAGTGAATGCGGGGTCCGGGGAGACGGGATATAGTGAATGCGGGGTCCGGGGAGAGCGGATATAGTGAATGCAGGGTCCGGGGAGAGTGGATATAGTGAATGCAGGGTCCGGGGAGAGCGGATATAGTGAATGCAGGGTCCGGGGAGAGTGGATATAGTGAATGCGGGGTCCGGGGAGAGTGGATATAGTGAATGCGGGGTCCGGGAGACCAGATATAGTGAATGCGGGGTCCGGGGAGACCAGATATAGTGAATGCGGGGTCCGGGAGACCAGATATACTGAATACAGGATCTGGAGAGACCAGATATATTGAATGCAGGGTCCGGGGAGAGTGGATATAGTGAATGCAGGGTCCAGGGAGAGCGGATATAGCAAATGCAGGGTCCGGGAGAGTGGATATAGTGAATGCGGGGTCTGGAGAGACCAGATATACTTAATGCAGGGTCCGGGGAGACCCGACATAGTGAATGCGGGGTCCGGGGAGAGTGGATATAGTGAATGCGGGGTCCGGGGAGAGTGGATATAGTGAATGCGGGGTCCGGGAGACCAGATATAGTGAATGCGGGGTCCGGGGAGACCAGATATAGTGAATGCGGGGTCCGGGAGACCAGATATAGTGAATGCGGGGTCCGGGAGACCAGATATAGTGAATGCGGGGTCCGGGGAGACCAGATATACTGAATGCGGGGTCCGGGAGACCAGATATACTGAATACAGGATCTGGAGAGACCAGATATATTGAATGCAGGGTCCGGGGAGACCCGACATAATTAATGTGGGGTCCGGGGAGACCAGACACAGTGATCATTTGATCATTATAGCGGGCGAGCTGCAAGAGGACGCGCAGAGATCAGGTACACGGACTGCGGTGTGTATTGGAAGCTCTCAGCCAGTATGACGGAGATTGCCCAGGCCTCGGAGCGGAGTTTTCATTTCCTGATGTTAATACGTCTTCGTCTCACTGAGGCCGATACATAAGTCCTGTCTTAGGAGACGATATATTAAGTAGCTCTGTTATGGGCTGACCTCGCGGTAGGCTGTACGCTTTTACTGCGGATATTAATTTGAGTAAACGCCTGGAAAGTATGGCGACGGGAAGGTAAGAAGGAAGTGTGGAAAATCGGAAACAAATGTCCAGGTGGAAGAAAGGCACGTTTCAGAATGAAGGATGGAAGGCAGATGTTGGTACAAGAGCAGGAGCTAAGAAGAAAAAAAAAAAAAGACACGGCCTTGTTTATTATTAAGTAACAAAAGAGAGCCATTATGGGGCAAACTCTGGTATACAGTCATGGCCGAAAATCTCGTCCCCCCTTCACTTCTGTCAGATCACGTACCACTTCACCCAGAAAATTGTTGCAATTACCAATGTTTTGGCATTCTCATGTTTATTTCTTTTATTTGTATTGATATGACACAAAAAAAGTGGAGAAACAAAATGCCAAATCTGACACATTCCACCCAAAACCCCACAAAGGGACTGGACAAAATTATTGGCACCCTTAATGTAACCATCAATGGGTTTCTTCCACCTCTCTACTGGAATGTTGGAGCGCTCTTCTTTCGCCAGCTTCTCCAGGTCTCTCAGATTAGATGGGTTCCTTTTCCCAACTGCGGCTTCCAGATCTCTCCACAGAACCTCTAAGGCAAGCTCCTGGTAGCTAAAGCCAACACTGTTAATATTTTAAAGCACAACTATTAGGTAATGTCAGATCTACCCTTGCAGGGTGGGGAGGGGGGCTGACTTTTTTTTTTTTGTCTAGGGGATGTGTGTCAAAGGCAAGGTCTGAAGGCTGAATCCAGCCCATCAGGCCATTGAATGTGGCCCTTGCACCTCTCCTGCAACTTTGGCAACCCCTTGTCTCTGCCCCCACCTAGTCCCAGCATCAGACAGCAGGACAGATCTCCTCCGCCAGATCCTGCGCTTCTCCGTGCAGCTGCGGAGAAGCTTGTCTCTGCCCCCCCCAACCCATCTCAGCAGTCAGCAGAGAGGACAGATCTCCTCCGCCAGATCCTGCGCTTCTCCATGCAGCTGCGGAGAGGCTTGTCTCTGCCCCCCCTTCCCCAACCCATCTCAGCAGTTGTCAGCAGAGAGGAGGACAGATCTCCTCCGCCAGATCCTGCGCTTCTCCGTGCAGCTGCGGAGAGGCTCGTCTCTGCCCTCCCCCCCCAACCCATCTCAGCAGTCAGCAGAGAGGACAGATCTCCTCCGCCAGATCCTGCGCTTTTCCATGCAGCTGCGGAGAGGCTTGTCTCTGCCCCCCCTTCCCCAACCCATCTCAGCAGTTGTCAGCAGAGAGGAGGACAGATCTCCTCCGCCAGATCCTGCGCTTCTCCGTGCAGCTGCGGAGAGGCTCGTCTCTGCCCTCCCCCCCCAACCCATCTCAGCAGTCAGCAGAGAGGACAGATCTCCTCCGCCAGATCCTGCGCTTTTCCATGCAGCTGCGGAGAGGCTTGTCTCTGCCCCCCCTTCCCCAACCCATCTCAGCAGTTGTCAGCAGAGAGGAGGACAGATCTCCTCCGCCAGATCCTGCGCTTCTCCGTGCAGCTGCGGAGAGGCTCGTCTCTTCCCCCCCGCAACCCATCTCAGCAGTCGTCAGTGGAGAGGAGGACAGATCTCCTCCGCCAGATCCTGCGCTTCGTGCAGCTGCGGAGAGGCTAGTCTCTGCCCCCCAACCCATCTCAGCAGTGAGAAGGACAGATCTCCTCTGTCAGATCCTACGCTTCTCCGTGCAGCTGCATATGAGCATTCAGGTGCCTTTGGCTCAGGGCCTGTCAACCTAAAAGCTAAGTTTGATGCAGTATTGGACATTTTCGACAGCTTCTATGAATGAAGGAGGGTGGCGGAAAGAAGGGTGGCGGAAAGAAGGAGGGTGGCGGAAAGAAGGGAGCACAGTCAAACACTCTTGATGAAAGCATGTGGGGGGTTAGACGATTCAATGAAGGAGGATTTCACCAAAGGAAGCATCAGCACAAGGGACACATTCTACTGACTACGTTCTGTCCCTTATTCTGATTTTTATTTTTTATTTTGGGGCACTTAGGCTTTAAAACTGAGATTTTAGTGAATGGGTTTCCATCTACTTTAATGTAGTGAGGAGTCCCTGGGATAGTGGCAGGCTCATAAAGTTGCACCTGCTGATCTACAGGCAGACGTCAAGCCGGTAAAAAGCAACACATTGGACACATGGGCCCATTCTGGGTGATTGCCGCCTTTCTGTGTGCAGAAATGACAACTAAATATTTCAGTCATCTCGGTGTTTTCACAGGTGACACTTAGGTGTCCTGGCTGCACAACCGGTATGGCAAGGCCTCCGAATTCTGATATGGTGCATGCAGGTAATCAGCTTCTTTATAAGATTTCACAAAAGGTCACCTAGTGGCACATGCTGGTGATGGGGACAATGGTCCTGTATGACCGACCTGTCTATGAGTGATGGAAGTGTCACAGCTTCCTACAGAACTGACCCATTCACACAGTGTGATTTAGGGCTCATTTAGACGCGCAAAGAAATATAAGCACCCAATAATGCACCTAATGCCCTAAGATGCATAAAAGGATAAGTTTACCTTTTTGGCAAAAAATAATAAATGCACATTTTTTTCAGGTTAAAAAAAATAGGCATTTATTATTTTCGGTTGCAGGTAAAGCATTTCATCAGTGATAAGCAGATCGCTGGTGCCATGCAGGTCTCCTGCTGACCCGTCAGTATATCTGCTTGTCCGTACGGGATGTATGGGCAACCAGATATACTGAGAGAATCAATGAACTTCCACGGTGATCCAAAGCGCCTTGGTAGTTCATTGAGAGCTACAAGCTGACAGCCGCAAAGGATATCAGAACACTGTGAATGAATGACGCAACCAAAAGGGCGGAGCAATTTTTAACCTCCTTAGCGGTAATCCCGAGTGTAGCTCGGGGTAAAATTTCTATACCAAAAGCGGTAACCCCGAGCTACACTCGGGCTTACCATGCGGAGCTGCTCAGGGGGTCCCTGCAGCACTTACCTTGTCCTTCGCTCCTGCGATGTGTCCCCTGCAGCGGCCGATGCCGGCATCCGGCTCCTGTGTTCCGGTCCCTGTGACGTCGGGACGTACGGGCGCTGGAACCGGCGGGAAATTTGAATTTTTTTAAAAATGTCATTTTTGCTGTTTCAATGCATTTCACATATATTTTGTCCCTACTGCTTTGTCCGGCGCCCTGCCTGCATTTTGAATGTTCTTTCTGCCTGGAAACTTAGAAAAGTCCATGGCGTCCAAAAAGTGTCCCTTTACGTCAAAAGCGGTTTTAGACCGGCTAGAGAACAGCGATAGTAAATCAGAACCACTTGCAGAATTGAGTGATAATGATTGGTGGGGGAAATTCCTCATCAGACACTGAAAACGATTTTGCGACTGAGCTCAGCGATGTGCGAATTTGCCTCTGTATTTCAAATTTCAGTGTTTTTGGTTTGATTATATTATTGAATTTAATTTATTATTATTATATTATTATTTTTTATGATTATTTATTAAATTATAATTTATGATTTCGTGTTTCAAATTTTATCATACCCGGGATGTTTACTAGACTCTTGTTCGTACAGATTTCAGTGAGTTATTCCGAAAAATTACAGCCTACAATAAAAAACTACATATTTCCATGCAAAAAAATGGTACCGCTTTCAGCACAAATATATCGGAAAGAATCATACCGCCGAGGAGGTTAAAAGATTGACAGCTTGTACAGGGAACTTCTCCCCGTAGTGCTTTCATGAGGGGGGGGGCAGCATTAGGAACATGTTACAAATTCCACTCTAAAACCGGGTGGAATGTGTCAAATGTTCCCAAAGGTGAACTTTAACGTTTTTGACACATCACGTTAAAAAGACGGCCCCTCTGTGTTGGCTTTTTATTTTATTTATCTCAGATAGTAATGCTTTCTGAATGCACCTCAAATGCACTGTAAATGGCCTAGGAGCATTTGCAGCGCAATTTCATCGACATCAATGGAAGGGTTCGGGAAGCTGCAAAGTCTGGAAAAACGACACGTGTCGGGTCAATTTTGACACTAACGCAACCATGGGAGCTGCAATGCGCACAATTTAGACAGGTGTGCATGAAGCTTCAAAAAATGCTCAGGAAACACCCGTTTTTGAAGCTAGTGTAAACTTTTTTTTTTTTCTTCTATACAATCCAATGGCGGCAGTGGAAAGCAGGGCCGCTGGTAAGGGGGTACCACCGGGCAATTGCTGGAACCGATCCCCTGTATTGCTCTCTCTGCAGCAGCTGAAACCTGGCTTCTTCTCCTCTCCCTCCCACTGGCTTTCAGCTGCTGCAGAGAGAGCCACACAGGGGATCGGTTCCAGTAATTGCCCCCCAGC